CAAATCACAGAAACTTTTCCCTTGTATAAAAAGAAGTATAGTGTTAATCAAGGTAACAAGTGACAAGTGGATATTTTAGCATATAGGATATAGAGTGGTTTTAAAGTCTGAAAGAAATATGAAATTAAGTGACTTTCCCTGTAATTTTATCCACTCCTTCTGAAAATATTTATTACCCATTATATGCCAGGCTTCATGCCAAGTAGCAAAGATGTCATCAAGAACATGTTAGGGTCTTGTCCTCAAATTTTATGACGCGAAGAAGCATGCCCGAGACACAGGTGGTGACAGAGCAGGGTAGCTCAGCCAAAGGGTGTTTATTAGCTCCATGATTAAGGGAAGGAAGTGAGGGAGTACCAGAGAAACCCAAAAGTACTGGAGGAGGGGCAGCTCCGAAGGCTGGACACAGAATTCATGTTCATCAACACAGCTAACAGCCTGGTAACAGAGTATCCCTATGTGGAATTTGGAACTTGCTTTCAACAGTATGTGATATTTTCTGAGAGAAGAGAGGTTTGTCTCCCCTAGGGATGGAGGTTTGTTCAGTGGAATTTGGGTTCCAGTCTCTGGAGTTAACATGGAGATTACCAAGATTCTGGGTCTGGAGACCCAGATTACAAAGGAATTCAGATTGATCCTGGAACTTTTAAAATACAGTAAAATGTCAAAAAAAAATCCATCATTTCAGAGTGTAATTAGGAAAAATAAATGAAAGAAATTCACTTACTGCTTTGGTTTTATTTTACTTTTTGATGGTGCTGGGGATGGAACCCAAGACCTTGTGCATGGCAGGCAAGCACTCTACCACTGAGCTACATTCCCAACTTCTAAATTCCCTTATTAGAAAATTAAAGTTCAGCTTTTCCTGACGGTCACGAGCTGCAGGAGCATCATATTTGAGTTGCTCTGTACGAGGGGGAAGGGGTAAGACTCTTAAGTGGGTGAGAGATTCTATCCGTTGAACTCAGCCTTCTCTAGGAGGACCATTCTCTCTGCCCTATCACAATGGAAAGTAATTCAAACAACTTCTGCAAAGCAAAATTAAAACCAAGGAACACGGGAAAACAAATACTCTCTTACTGTGATATTTCCTATATGGGTCATGACGGGTTCTCTGAGGCGATACTGGCTAAAAAAAAAAGAACCAAGATTTGCATAAATATTTGCCTTAGTCACTTCTGCAGTGAATTAAAAATGGAATTCTTGCTTGTGGCTGACCAGAAACATAAGGCAGACCAATAAGTTATTTGCCTTTTAACTCTCTCAAATAAAGACAGAAGAATACAATACATTTTATCAGTAACTGCCACTATGGCACAACTCTGGGTCAACAATACAGAAAAACATTTGGTTATCTTTTATATTTTATGAGACAAACACATCAATGTTTTTCAATGAAAATAAGGACAGAAGTCCTGAAATAAAGTCTGGCCTCTCATTTCCTATCTTCCCCTTTTTTTCCCCTCCCACAAATTACTTTTACGTAGAGATATCCGGAGAAACAAAATAAAGAGAAATCTTCAGTCATAAAAAGTCAAAATGACTGACGAGAAAAATAAGCCTAGTGTACACTCACATGAACAACAGATAAAATTGCTTCATAGTGGTTTGCTTAACTGGTACTAGGATGGGGATACTTGCTAAGATTTTATCTTCCTTTTTTATCTACGAAGAAAAATTGTACTTTTTTTTTTTTTTTTTTCTTTTTTGAGATGGTCTCCTTGTAGCCCCAGCTGTCCTGGAACTCACTATGTAGACCAGGCTGGCCTCGAACTCACAAAGATCCGCCTGCCTCTGCCTCCCAAGTGCTGGGATTAAAGGCGTGCACCACCATGCCCAGTGAAAAATTGTACTTTTAATGCATCTAAATGTAAATAGATGTACTCATGGTAGGAAAATTCATTTGTAAATGAATTTTCCGCTGGGTTTGGCAGTGCTCTATTCTTTAATGAGAAGCAGAGGTGGGTGGATCTCTGTAAGATCAAGGCCAACCTGGTCTACATAACAAATTCTAGGCCAGTTGGGGCTATAGGGAGAACCTGTCTTAAAAAAAAATACCTAAATGAAATTTTACTGCATGGCATCCTAATAATATGTATAATATGTATAGCTTTTACATCTTACGTATTAGTTAAAAAAATAACAAATGTGTCAAAGTAGCTTTGTGCTTTTTTTAAGATTCTTGACTCAAGCTGCACTGCCATAACTCAGACTCCCAGCCTTCTCCAGATAGCTAAGACATGGTGTACGTGTATGTTCTGTCTGGGCCCAGCTGATAGCTGGGCAAAGAGGAAACTCACAAAGGGGAAGCACTGCCAGCAGCCCCGCTGGATTAAAAAGTGGATGGTCACTCACTCAGCTTTAACAGCTTGATTTATAATAATCTAAAAAGAGGAAATAGAAACGATACAAAAAGTTCAAATAGGAAAATAGGGGGGAAAAGATAAGAGGAAAAAAAAAATAAGGTAAGAAGGAAGAGCCAGAAAGAGGGACAGTGAGCTCTGAAGAAGGCCCATGACTCAGAAGCCTTTGACTGACAGCATCCATTTATCTTCCTAAGTCGGGAGCAGCCTTGAACCTTGTGCAAATGTGAGATGCCTGTTTCCTTGGGTATGAAGAATAAGAAGATGGAGTTGAAATTATCTATGCTTAACTGACACCCACCAAAACCAGTCAAGAGAAAAACAAGTCCTACAGAGTTACGATCCTCCAAGGGCTGAGCCTCCGTTTATATCAGAGTGAGGAAGACTCTGGAATAGCATTCACCACTTGCGATGGTAATAAAATTGATTGACTGATTGATTGATTGATTGAGACAGGGTCTCCCTGTAGCTCCAGCCAGCTAGAACTCGCCATATAGACCAAGCTAGCCTAGATCTCACAGAAATCTGCCTGTCTCTGTTTCTCCGGTGCTGGGATTAAATGTGTGTTCTACCATGCCTGGCTCAAGCCCAAATGTTCATAAAGTACTTTATAAACTGCTGTAAGGCTTAGAGGGCTGAGACTCAGAGATGGAGTGCTTCTACTTCCCTAGTTATATACAAGGCCCTGGGTTAGATCCTCAGCACCAGAAAACAAAATAAAATAAAATAAATTGCTATAAAATATAAAGTGTTATTAGTAAATTAAGGCATTTTGAAACCAGTGAAGGTGAAGTCTGATTACTACAGTGCAAAGTGACTCATTAGTGTTTTTGCTGTTTATTCCTGAAGAACCATAGTCTTTCTTACTTTTTCTCTCTATCCACTGACAGGGTGCAGCCTTCTGTTGCACAGCTCTATTGCCTGCACCCTGGTTACAAACAACACTGGCTTTTCTCAGATACTGTTTCTCATCCCACTTTCTGTTTTCTACTCATAAACCTGTTCTATAATCTGGGTTTGGCAGTTCACTCCTTTGATCCCAACACTCAGGAGGAAGAGGCAGGTGGATCTCTGTGAGCTGGGAGGTCAGTCTGGACTACATAGAGTCTGTCTCAAAAACAAGCCAGGTGTGGTGGCACATGCCTGTGATCCCAACACTAGGGAGGCAGAGGCAGTTGGATCTCTGTGAGTTCAAGGCCACCCTGGTCTACATAGTGAGTTCCAGGCCAGCTGGGGTTACAAGGAGATTCTGTCCCAAAAAGACCCCCCGACAAACAAACAAACAAAATTCTGGTGTTCAACTACAGTCAGAGCAGCGTAGGCCCAACAGTTTTCTTGGGCACTATTTCCTTGGATGCACTGCAGCACCACCCTGCCCCTGCTCAGTTTGCCATCTCTAACTGGATGATATAATTTTCCAAAAGCAGAACTGAATGCACAGACTCTTACATAATTGTATGGGGAGGTGGGATAATTCAAGCATGCAATTGACTTAAAGTAGTTCCTTTATTTACATTAACCATTTGAAATCACTCGAAAGTAGACTAAATTCTCATTTGAACTAATCCATACAACTGGAGAAACTAAAATAAAAATTCTTCAACTCAAACTCTGATTTTGTAAAACTAAGATATATTGAGAAGTGAGCTGATATTACAGACTTCCAGATTATGTAAGTAACAACCAAAGCTCCCACTCTGTCTGGATGTGAGAAATGACCCTGTGGGGTAGGGGAATCCTCCAGGGAAATCCACCATCCTGGCCAGCCTGTTCCAGGTCAACTAGAAGAGAAAGGTTGAAGAACTGCAGGGACTCTTGTCTATTTTAATAAAAACTGGAGAAAAATGTGAGCTGGGCCTGATGGCGAGGCTGGCAAGCCCAGCTACTCAGGAAGCTGCAGCAGAGGAATTACATTTCAAGGCCAGCCTTAGTAACTTAGCAAGACCCCCCCCTCTCAAAAATAAATTTTAAATATTTAAAAAAAATTTATTTATTATTTTTATTTTGTGTGTATGAGTGTATTGCCTGCATGTAGGTTAGTGCACCCATGTCATGCAATGCCCGTGGAGGACAGAAGAGGCCGTCGGATCCCCTGGAACTGGGGTTACAGATAGTTGTTAGCTGTCACATGGGTGCTGGGATTCAAACCTGGGTCTTCTGCAAGAACAACCAGTGTTCTTAACCACTGAGCCATCTCTCCAGCCCCAAATTTTAAATATTTTTATTAATTTTTAATCATGTGTATGTGTGTGGTATGCATGTGAATCCAGTGTGTGTGTTATAGGCTGCTGTGAGCTGTCTGACATCAGTGCTGGGAATTGAACTCAGGTTCTCTGGAAGAGCAGTATGTACTCTTAACCACTGAACCATTTCTCTAGCGCCCAAAGTATATTTTTTTAGGTTCAAAAAGGGGGTTGGAGAGATGGCTCAGCAGTTAAGAACACTGGCTGCTCCTGCAGAGGACCTGGTTTCAGGTCCCATCACCCACATGGCAGCTATCAACTGTCCAAAACTTCAGTTCCAGGGGATCCAATGGCCTCTTCTGACCTCTGTGGGCATTACACATGCAGGCAAAACACCCATACACACAAAATAAAAATAAACTTTTTTTTTTTTTTACGTTCAAGAAGGATTACTAGCACTTTGTGTCTGTGTATTAGCTGGTGGACACAGGCATGAAAGACAAGTGCAAAAATAAATCCTCTTTTGCAAACCAGAATTCACTGTGCAGTATGAGTTCTGATGCATGCAAAAAGGAATATGATTCACAAGACAACTCAAAGTAGTGGTGCTGATGAGAGACTTGTCTTGAGCATGAGATCTGGAGTTGAAGGTACCCGTCTTACTGTGAATGAATGTTTGTTTCAATGGAGCATTGGCATACCCTAGTATTGACCATTGTATTCCTGAGCAATGGCCTAGGAATCAGTATGTTCTGAATTCCTCCTTGTTAAGAGAGTAGAGTGTCAGCAATTGAGAAGCAGATCTATCCTAAAGTAATTCCTAAAGTAAACTGTTTCAAGAATTGACCAAAGACCTCAGAGGGAGAACTTTGATGTGGACATGAAGGAATCACACATGAAATCCCTTAAATAAAAGTTTATGGGCTAAAAATACAGAATTCTTCTGCATAGAGCCAGTACTTGCCAGTAAAGTAACCAATAAAATACATAGATAAATAAGAAAGAATGTTTGTGAACTCACCATTTTCTGTGCTGTATTGTTTTTAAGCAAAGCAGATCCAAATTGCACTCTTTAAATTTCCTTTTGTATGTATTTATTTTAACACAGTTCTTTAGTTAGAAGACATTCATAATGATGATTGAAATAAATTCCACAAGGTCATGAACTAACAGATACACCATCAGAACCCCTGTTATATTCAGTACTGTTTAGTGTTAATTAATCAATATTGCCCTGCTTTCAAAGTTCACATAGTGGGGACATCAAGGTGGCTCAGAGGGTATAGGTATGTGCTGCCAAGCCTGATGACCTGAGTTCAATCCCCAGGACTCACATAATAGAAGAAAAGAACTGACTTCTAAAGTTGTTCTGACTTCCACACCCAGACCATGGGATGCATGTGCGTGTACACACACACACACACACACACACACACACACACACAAATGTAATAATCTTTTAAAGTCTACACAGGTTTCTGGTTCAAGATGAGATGGTTTATGTCACTCATTCCTCTGGTTCTAAATGCAACTGATTATCCTGGAAGGAATTCAATAGACAGTCATATGATGGTTCTCAACAGCAGAAAGAGGCTGGCTGCCTGGGGACCAGAGAGACACTGGGGTGAGTGTCCTAGAGTTTTGCATCATCCCCTTTATGTTCCAGTCTGGGAATGAAAAAGACCAAAAGCCCCACTCTCTGGTCTATTGTTTTGGAAAAGGAAAGGGTCAAGGGTATGTGTGCGAGAGAGATTCATGTTCCTATGGCAATGATAGACTCTGGGCCATCTGACCCATCCCTGCTCCACATCAGGAGGCAACAGGTGCCCCTTCATCCACCCTGATAAACTGGGACACCGATCACTCTTATCCTCCAAACCAGTTGTAAAGAACCACCTTTTGCTGGTGATTTCTGGTCATCTACTCAGTAGCAAGATAACTGAGGCCAGGCATCTCCTAGCCCTTCATCCTTCAGCAGGAGGAGAATCAGGTCGAGTCGCCTGGCCTCTACTCAGCAGCAGGGCTACCCAAACCCCAGCGCGCCTGGCCCTTCTCTAGCGGCAGAAGGTGGTCCAAGCCGGTATTATCCCTCTCCTAGTGGCACTATCAGAAATGGAATGGAAACACTCTTCAAGTTTGGAACCAGAATCTTATACTCTCTACCTGGTGGTGATGGGAAGCTCAGGAAGGACCAGGGAAATGTCATCACCTCTATCTGTGGCACCAGCAGGGATCCGTGGGGAACTGAAGCAGCAGAGGACAAAGCAAATCTGTGGAGAGATGGCTCAGCGTTCAGAGCACTGGTTCAGTTCCCAGCACCCATATGGTGGCTAAAAGCTATCAGTAACTCTAGTTCCAAGGGATCCAATGCTCTCTTCTGGCCTCTGCAAGCACTAGGCACACACGTGGTATACATACATGTGTACAGGTAAAACATACACATAAAAAAGTTAATTGAGAAAAAAAGAAGACTCAAAAACTAAATTGTCCTTAAATTCATCACTCACAAAGGTAGGAAGGGATTAAGTAGGATCAAGAGCTGCGAACATGATACCCACAATATCCAGGAGATGATGATGATAATAATAATAACATCAACAACACATACCCCCTTATACCAAGCACCAGCAAACAGCTATTCCCACTCCCATGATCATAGGGACATTTCACAACATTTAAGATGTGAAAAAGCCTAAATGTTCAACAGATGGATAAAAATACTGTGATAAGCATAAGTGTACACACACACACACACACACACACACACACACACACACACGGAATATGATTTGACCTTAAAAAGAAGCAAAAATTGCAGCATGGATGAACTTTAGACACTGTAGTAAGTGAAATAAGGTGCTCAGAGCAGGCTGGATATGACACATCCCCATCAGATGAAGTATCTAAACATGTCATATACACAAAAACAATGAAACAACCAAAGTCATGAGAGTAAATTAGCCAGAGTGAGGAGAGAGAGAGGGAGAAAGAGAAAGAGGGAGCGAAGGGAGAGGGAGTGAGGGATAGAGGAAGGGAGAGAGAGGAATGTAGAGGTGCTAATCAACAGTTATATAAGATGAAGGACTTCAAGAGATGTGCCTTAACCCTGATGTGTTTTGTTGTTATTGTTTTGGTGTGCAGGGACAGAGTTTCAGTATGTAGCCCAGGTTGTCCTGGGACTTCTCATGTAGCGCAGGCTGGTCTCAAACTTGTGGTGTTCCTCCTGCTTCTGCTTCCTGAGTGCTGAGATTATAGGCAGTAAGCCACCACAGCCAGTTTAAGATTACATATATTTTTAAATATTCAAGATCTTTTTTAAAATTTTTATTTATTTTTATTTTATGTATATGAGTGTATTGCCTGCATTTATGTAAATGTACACTTGTTATGCAATGCTGCAGAGGTCAGAAGAGGGCATTGGATTTCCCTGGAACTGGAGTTAAGGACAGTTCTTAGCCACCATGTGGGTGCTGGGAATCAAACCTGGGTCTTCTGCAAGAGCAGTCAGTGCTCTTAACTGTGGAGCCATCTCTCTAAGCCCCTAAACATTCAAGATCTTAAATGTCTGTTAAAAAGATGGATTTCCTGTCAAGATTTCTTTTTTCAACAAAATAATATAAAATATAAGGAAGAATTCACTAATACGAGCACAAAAGGAAGTGTTATTACGGGTTGGTCATGCCCATTAAAAAGATAAAGGACAGATAACGCAGCCCTCCGCGCCGGGACTCCCTAAGCCACATTCACCCTTCCATCCCCTCCACCGTTTTATACTCCTAGTTTGGGCCCTGTGCCATTCCTAGTCTTGGGGCCCCAGTCACGTGGAGAACCAATACTGCTTTCTGATCCTTCTCACCCAGATCAACTCAGTCCCTTTCTTGGGCCCCAGGAGTACCGCTTCTGGTCCTGGCCCCGCCCTCACCTCTCTCTGCTTCCCTGGGCCTGCACCACCGGCTAACTCTCCTAGCCTGCACTACTATCCTCGGACCTCTTGGGGTAAGTCTATAGCACAGCCCTCCGAGCCGGGACTCCCTAAGCCACATTCACCCTTCCATCCCCGCCCTCCGTTCTATACTCCTAGTTTGGGCCCTGCGCCATTCCTAGTCTTGGGGCCCCAGACACCTGGGGAACCAATACTGCTTCCTGACCCTTCTCACCCTGACCAACTCAGTGCCTTTCTTGGGCCCCAAAAGCACCGCTTCTGGTCCTGGCTCCACCCTCACCTCCCTCTACTTCCCTGGTCCTGCAACACCC